CATAATGTAGTATAGGTTTACATAAGAGGAAAAAAAAACTCATCACGAAATACCACTGAGTTTTAACAAAATTCACCAAATACCACCAACTTTTTTCAAATTCACCAAATACCATTCAGTTTATACACATTATCACAAAATGTCTATTTTCTTAACAAACGTTAGCCTGCCATTTGTGTAATTTTATACATTTGCCCTTACTTCTTTAATGGCGCCATTTAAAGCATTGACTCTCCCAAAAAAGAACAGTATACTTCGAAAAATTTGACCCATGACTTCATCTCCTCCATTAGCGCACTCTCTGTTCTTCAGCAGCACACTTTAACCCTTAAAATTGATCAAAAAGCTTCAATCTTTTGAAGATTTAAGGCATACTTGGAGGAGAAAAGTACTTTGGCGCTTCAGATTGAACTAGAATCGCAAGATCGCGTCGGTAGTCGGAGGTTTTGATGATTGTGACTGAAATTCCAACCAACTCAGGAACTGGGCTATTCGAAGCATATACAAGGTAAAATGTTGTTAATCGATTTCGCGTTGTGATTTTGTATTTTATTTGCAAAATTGAGTTAGGGTTACGGTTTTTTCAGAAATTGAGTATTTGCATGTGATGTAGGGTTTTTTTTGCGAAATTGCTTTGGATATATGTCACTTTGTTGTAATTTAATGTGAATTGTGTGTGTGTTGATTTTGAAATGTTGTTGTTTGTAATTGTTTCGTAGGATGAGTGTATTGTGGCTTTTAGTTCATTATAGTAGTGATGCTTTTGATGTTAGGGTGGATGACACTAATAAGACTAATTTGCTGGAGTTATTTGAGTACTTGTTTGAGGATTCAGTTAAGCAGAATGTGTACTTCTTAAATCATTCACCATGTTTGTTGCTAAATCTAGAACTAATCGTAAGTTGGAGTTGGTGGATGATGGGGCTATGTTGAAAATGTGGGAATGGAATGAAGGGAAAGAAGAAATTGAGGTTTTCATAGAGGAAACAAATACATCATCTCTTGTGTTTAATTAAGTCTGCTGAAGTTAGCTGGGCAAAAAGGTTAAAAGACCAGACTGAGAAGAGTAGGTTAAAGGAGGAAGGGAATAGGAGAGATGCAGAGAAAGAAGAAGTTGAGAGACAACTTAGAGAACATCAGCAATTCACTGTAGCTGTAAAAGTTCTTGTAGTGATTGCAGAGGACAGTAGGGTTGAATATGTTTGGGTATTTAACACTACAGCTTCTGATGAGGTTTTTCCTGGAACTTCACAACCCGAGCCATCACAAAAAGAATCACCCCCACATAAACAACCTACACCTCCACTAACTGAAACAAACAAGACACCTACTTCGACTAAAAAAACACCTAGGAGAAAGAAAATTACACCTAAAAGAAAAATAGTCAGTCAACCCAACAAACACAACAACCTTCTCCACCTGGGCAGCCTACACCACCACCTACAGATTCTGACCAAGGACAATATCAACCAACAACACCAACACATGTCCCTTCACCACCAAACACTCCAGTCAACCCTAACATGCAGCCTATACCAACTCCACCAAACACTCTAGTTAGACATCCTACACTGCCAGTATCTCCTCCAACCAGGGAACCTACCCAATCTCATCAACCTTCACATCCACCTAGGAAGGATGGGGGTGGGTTAAGCTTAGGTGTTAATGGAATAGGGCAGACAAGAATTAAACCAAGTGAGTGGAGGGTGCCTAAGAGTACAACCTTGAAGTATGGTACCTTTGTAAGGAAGAAGAAAGGGGGAGAGTGGTGTTGGATCAGGGAGTCAAGTTAGTACTAGGAAAAAGAAACAAGTGTTTGTTTGTGAGAGTGATGAATCTTTTGATAGTCTGGATTCTGAAGATAGTGAAGATGAGGACTATGTGGCATCAGACATAGAAGATGAACAGGATATGCATTTGAACAGTGAGGATGAATTCATTGTGGAAGAGGAAGATCTTAGTGATGATATTCCTGCCAAAACATTTTAGGATTACCTTGATGGTAGCCATATGTTAGACAAAATGTACAAGAATGGCAGAATATGGTCTCATTTACCATTTGGGTCTATTCAACTTGAGCCATGGTTGATTTTTGCGAACAAAACAGAGTTCCTTGAGGTGTTTAGGGACTATTGCATACAAGAGGGTTTTGCTGTCTCAGTTGACTATGCTGACAGTTAAAGATAGACAGCAAGATGTCTAATTAAGAGAATTCATGCCACAGTTCTGACTGAGAAAGTCAATTGGGCTATCAAGAAGCAGGAAGGAGAGCACAAAACTTGTGAGAGGCTTGAAGAAAATCCTATGGTGTCATCAGCATGGCTATGCAGGCACCTGTTGCAGGACTTGGAGGCAAATCCTGACATTCTAGTGGATTCATTGTAGAGAGTGTGCATGGAAAGATACAGGCTTAATGTGAAGCTGAGGTTATTCTACAAAGAGAAAGTATTAGCTAGGGTGCAAATTCATGGGGGTTTTGTTGAGTCATATGGACTGTTACCCAAGTATGCCGAGATGATTAAAGCTAAAAATCCTGCATCCTATGCACTTGTTACTTGGACTGACGGTGGAAATGAAGGATCAAAATTCAAGGCTTGTTTTATTTCATTTGCAGCTCAGGTGAAGGGTTTTTTGGGTGGATGTAGACCCACCATAGGCATAGATGGTGCACATCTTAGTGGCTATTATAAATGCATAATGTTGACTGCAGTAGCAATTGATGGCAATAATGAGATCTTTGTCATAGCCTATAATTTGGTTGATACATAAAGCATAGATAGCTGGACATATTTTTTCTTCAGGAAACTCAAGTTTTTGTTTCTACAATATGGATGTCAAAAAGATGACTGGACATTCATTAGTGACAGAATGAGTGTAAGCAACTATATATGCATGTTCTGTTTTTGTATTACATGCTACCAACCTAGACTAACTACTTTATGTGTCCTTTTTTGAAGGGTGTTGAATCAGCTCTGTTTGAAGTTTTTCCAAGAGCAACAAGGAGAGCCAGCATCTTTACTCAAACTGCAAGAATGCAGGATAAAGTAGGACTGCCTTTCACAAGCTCTTTTGGATTGCTACTAATGCCTATAATGAATATGTATTTGAAAAGACAATGTCCAAAATTAAGGAGTATGATGCAGCAGCAGAGCAGTACCTCAGAGATATTGAAGAGAAATGGTCAATCCATACATTTGATAGAAGAGTTTGTAGTGATCATAACACAACTAACTTTGTTGAATCATTCAAGGCATGCACAAAGCCAAACAGAGATATGCCTGTTTTAACATTATTGGAGGGTAAATTACTTGTTTGCCTTTTTCTTGCTGAACTAACTTGTTTTTAATTGTGTTGTTAGGCTTTTGTGTTGATGTTTGGTGAAAACCAGTTGTGAGAAATTGGTGCATGAAGAGGATTGGAGCTAGATTTGACAAATCTATTGACATGGAGCCTACTCAACTGACAGGATATGCAAAAGGGATTTTAGAGCCAAGGAGTGAAGACTCTAGGTTATGTCATGTGACAACTTATGGGGTGGAGAGTTTGAAGTCAGAGATGGGCATGTGAAGTTCCCTATCACACTTGGGAACATGACATGTGAGTGTGGGAAATGGCAAGGTTCAGGGATACCTTGCATACATGGTCTGAGGGTGATTTACAACTAGAGACTTCAAGCAACTGATTATGTTTCTGCATATTTCAAGGGGGCTGCATATAAAATGACTTATGGAGACCATATCCACCCCATGACAAATCCTACTCACTGGCAAGGTTTGATCTCCCAAAAACTGCTCCTCCTACAGTCAAAAGAAGTGCAGGGAGACCAGCAAAGCAAAGAAGGAAGGGCCTTAATGAAGCTAAGAAGGGTAAAAGGCACAAGAACAACAAGTGCAGCCTATGCAAGGAATTGGGGCACAATGCATTAACCTGCAAAGCAAGGAAAGAAGCTGCAAAAAAGAAACAACAAGCTACCAGCACATCAGAGCAAGCTAAAGGAAGGAGGAGGAAGAGAAAGGCTGACACTCAAGCTCCTAGAGGTTCACTGCTGCTGCATTTGATCATTTTTTGCCTAACTTTTTAAATTTTTTGTGACAACAAATTATGTTCTTAATTGCTTGGTTGTTAGGCCTAAATTAGTTTTTGCACGACAAACTTATTTCTAAGCACAAATTACTCCAAGTGCATATTCATGTAGCACTGATTTTTTGTTTACAAGAATAACTTATTTAAATGCTACAAATACAATGATTAAAGACATAATTAGTCATACTTTAATTGCTCTAGGTACTAGTTTTTGCTGTTGTACTAATCTTCTCTTCAGTTGCTTCAACTCTTGCTTCAACATAGTCTTATCTCCATGAAATTGTGCATCAACGCATTGCCAACTTTGAAATTCATAATCCGAACCAACATTTTGCTCAATATTACCCTTGCACCATCTGAATTTATCACAAACATCACACTTGTAATACAATCTTTGAGGTTTTTTTGCCAAATCGGAGCTCCTAATTGCAAATTTCCTCCCACATGAGCACGCTTTGTTTGACACTCTCACGTATGGAGATTCGTAACATGAGGATGACAAATTAGAGTGTGTGGACATGTTTGCAAATGAACTAAGGTGTGGCTGTGCTTTACACCCTATAGGAAGCTGTTTTTATACATAAACTAGCCGTTGGAAATGGCAACGACTTTTTTTAAAAAAGAAGCTGTTATTAGATTTGGGTTTATGGTGAATAAGTTTTATTAGTGTGTATATGGTGAATTATTTTGTTACAGTGGTATATGGTGAATTTGTAAAGTACCATTAACGGCAGGCTAATGTCTGTTAAGAAAATAGGCATTTTGTGATAATGTGTATAAATTGAATGGTATTTGGTGAATTTGAAAAAAGTTGGTGGTATTTGATGAATTTTGTTAAAATTCAGTGGTATTTCGTGAAAAAATCGAGAAAAAAAAAAAAAAAAAAAAAAAAAGTCTAAAACCAAGCTGAACAACTGCCCAAGTCACAAGTCACAACTATAGAACAGTGAAGTGCACTGCTTTGTCAAACTTTTGAATTCAATCATTACGTGGGTGAAACTTAAATATTTTTCCTGTTTTGTCGGTTCAAAATCCAATCTTTAATTTTCTTAATAAACCCAGGAATGTCGCACAATATAATCAAACTCCCCCAAATTTCACCTACCACAATCCAAAATCCAACCTTAAATCTCCCCCAATTTTCACAAATTTGCCCTAATTTCTCCCAAAATCAATGGATAAATCTGAAGCAGAAATTCCATTTAAAATCTCCGAAAGAATCACACTTAACGGTACCCTAATTCCCTTAACCTTCAACTCCGACGTAATTCTCCGGTGGGTTGACGGCGGCGATGAAAAGTCCTTGTCTTTGGAGAAGGAGGTTCTAGGAGTTTCAATGGAAGATTCTAGAATCATCCTCAAATGTGCTGTTAAGAGCAGTGGTAGTGGTGGTGGGATTCTCTGTTGCTCACCCACAGAAGGTTTGGTGAGGAAGAGTTTAGTTTTGGAAGCTTCTTCTCAGGAGTATCTTCAGCTTTGGTTCCAGAAGCTGCGAGAATTTCTCGATTCTCTTGGTAATTACTCTTCAATATTTGATGGCTGATCAATGAATTTGATTTCAATTTTTTGTGTAATATGATTACACACTCTGTTTTCAATAGTTGATCCATGCTCGTTATTTTACAGTTTTCAATGCACATCTTTGATCATCGATATATTGATATTGATATATGCATATATGTACGCGTAGTTTTGTATTATAAAGTTGAATTCTTTTGTTATGTTCGGAGATAAAAATTGAGACGAATTCAACGAGATGATACGAGAACAATGCTTTGAACACCTGTATTGAACTGATTGAGTATAAATTAAGCTATCTTAGATCCAAGATGTAACTTTTCAGGGATTGTGATCACAACTAATTTCATTTGTAGTTTATCTAATAAGCTAAAAACCTTAGTAGATCTTGCAAATATGGTAATTGATGGATATGGTAATTTGCTGTAAACATGGGTGTAGGTCGACCAAAGAGGCTGTTTGTTTTGGTGAACCCGTATGGCGGAAAGAAGTCTGCGTTACAGATATTTGTTGATACTGTGCGGCCATTGCTTGAGGATGCCGAAATCCAATTTACGGCCATTGCTTGAGGATGCCGAAATCCAATTTACACTACAAGGTTTGTAATTTTGCGCTTTTGCTCGGTTATACTAATATACTGCTGTATTTGTAGCTCATCACTTAGTTAACTTATGTTGTACTGGTATTTGTGTTGGTGTTATTGTTAATAGAAACCAAATATCAGCTACATGCAAAGGAACTTGCTTATGGACTAGATCTTACCGAGTATGATGGTGTCATTTGTGTTAGTGGTGATGGCATCTTGGTTGAGGTATGCTGTTGAGCACTTGCTAATGCATTACGGTTTGTTTGGATAACAAAGTGGAAGAGAAAGGGAAGGGAGGGAAAAGGAAGGAAGGGGGAGGAATGGAAAGGGGGGAGAAGGTAAGGTTACATTTTCCCTCCAAACCTTTCCAACATTGGTAGGATTTGGTTTATTAAAGAGGGAGGAAAAATGGATCCTTTCATTTCCCTTCCCTTCCCTTCCCTCCTACCAAAAGGTATCTAAAGAATTTTTCCTTATCTTCCTTTCCTCCAATTTTCTCAATCCAAACAATGTGTTAATGATTTTGAAGAAAACTTCCACAAGAGATCTTTTTGATATAGTGTGCGTTGTGGGTTTTGGGTTTTGGGTGATATCTTTTTTTTGCTTCGTTGATAATAGATGGATTATTCCTTAACAAAAAGCATATCATACAATTTATAAAATGGACAGTAACAGCTGAGAACAAATTTTTTGAGTTGAAAATAACAAAATTTCCATCAAAAACTTTACATCAGTTATGACTACTTATGAGGTTAAGACAGACATAGATTAAGGGAGCATTAGCTGTTGGATCTTCCTTTGCAACCTTTTAAAATGTAAGTTTCTATATTGCCAAAGGCGAAGGAGTGATTTACAAAAATAAGGCTCATTTGAAACTTATTTACAATTTTGTGTCGGAATAAAACTTATTTACAAAATTGCTGTCCACGTATGCTCGGAAATACGTTTGGGTGAATTTAATTTTTTTTAAGGACAAACCGCTACTCAAAGTTGCGGTTCTCCTTTATACTCCACACAACACACTTGCTCAATTTAAATACATAAATTAAAACCAAAAAAGAAAACACCACGACAAAACCGCACAACCCTCTCCATCTCCAGTCTCCACCACGCACATCACGTCGTCGTTCATCATCAACGTCCTCCTGCAGACCGGCGGCCAACTGATCAAGCGTTTCCACCACCACTTGATCCGCAAAATGTTTTTTGGATCTTTACCCCTAAATTGATAAGTTATTTAGCCCTAATTTTTCTTCTTAATTTTAATACTCAATTGTTTAAATTAATTAAGTTGCTGCCACATAATGTCAAAATCATTATTATAAACTTAATTTTCTTCAGAAATTCGGTGCTTGTTCGGTTTCGTATTAGAGATTGTTGGATTTTGCTTTGGTTGCCTTTGTTTTTCTTGGATTTCACTTAAGTAATAAGTCAGCATGCTTTACTTAGCATAGCATCCTTAAGTAGCAGTTTATCTCCTAAAACTTCTACTACAGGTACGGTTTATGTAAACCGCTACTTAAGGTAGCGTTTTATGCTGATTATTTTTTCAAAAAAATTAAAAAATGTTACCCGAGCCTACGTGGACAGCAATTTTGTAAATAAGTTTTACACCGATGCAAAACTGTAAATAAGTTTGAAATGAACCATACTTTTGTAAATCGTCCAAGGCTAAGACCCTCATGTTTAATATTTGGGACACCCCAAGATAATGACTTTTTTTTTTATAATATATGTTCGAAAGTTGTAGTTCGTCCATATTAATATATTTCCCTAAATGACATCTTTTACTAACAACTAAATAACTGACTACAAGTCCTTTCAAAAATAAAAATAAAAAATTAATAACTGACTACAAGTTGCATGGTGGAGATTTATTTAAGGAGTGATACTTAATGTGCTAGAATGTAACTCTAAAAAATTTCAATTATATGCCACCTATTATTAAGGATGGAGAGTAATGGAGTTGTGTGTTTTGGTATATGTACTTTCGTATTGATTTCATTAGTTATATTCCCTCCATTTCAGATTGTACCCTTGCTCTCTTTAATTAAAGTATTAAGGAGGTGGAATTTATTAATAGTGATGGCTTTGTGTGGGAGGGGTGCATGAAATTCAAGGCGAGTAGCATAGACTTGAAATAAGCCTATCTTACCTATACTTAGGATATGGCCGTAGATGTACACTGCCACATCTGATACCTAACTCAGGATAGGTCAATAGGGATATCAGTCATATCACTGTGAAAAGATGGAAATACAATCGTAGCAGTGTAGCACGGAACAAGCTCAGCAAATTTAAGATAATTGCTCAGTGTCTCTGATATATTAATGCTCTTTTTACAGCATTAGATGTTAATTACAGGGGTTCTGAACTTTAGTAGGTAGTGAATGGCTTGCTGCAAAGGCATGATTGGGATACTGCAATAAAGATGCCTATTGGAGTGATTCCTGCAGGTATTTATTCTACCCTCTTATGTTTATTGATGCATGTCTGAGTTTCTGAATAGAACATCTCAATTTTTTCTCAAAATTGAATTATTATGCTTGAAATCCTAGCCAAAGGTGTAAATCTTGTTGTCTGGACTGATTTATGTAGCACATTTGCATTCCGTGTTTTGTTTGAAAGTGAAATTTTTGGAAACTATCAATTTGAATGCTTTCGAAACTCTTTGGACATCTATTTTATTATTCATTGGTCTTTAAAGCAAAGAGCTCAACTGCTGGCTAAAGAGATGAAACAGTAACCAGGCTGTATTGTCGTGTTTTTCTTTGAAATGATTATATTTTTTGGGAGAAAATTACCAAATCTCAAGATTTTTCCACATCATATTCTGTCTGAACTAATCATATCATTCATACGTATGATGTACATATGAGTTATAGAATTCTGTATGGTTATTCTTATGTTCACTAGTCAATTTATTTTGGTGTAAATTGATAAACTTGTACAAGGCCATAACTGTAGGCCTGTAGTTATGCTTTTCTCACTCTTCTGATGAACCTTTACTGGATGTAGGTACTGGCAACGGTGTAGCTAAATCTTTGTTGGATTCAGTTGGTGATCCTTGTTCTGCAGTTGATGCCACTGTTGCAATCATTCGGGGTTAGTATTGTTCTGCTGGCAAGTAATAAAGGCTTTCACTTCACGTTAAATATTTCATCCAATCAATTGGTGTTTATTCTGTTACAGGTCACAAAACCTCCCTCGATATTGCTACTATTTCACAAGGGAAGACAAGGTTTTTCAGTGTCTTAATGCTTGCATGGGGTATGAGATGCTCATCCATTCAGATTATAATATGCTATGTTACTCCATCCATTCAGATTATACAATGCTATGTTACTCAAACTCTTCTTTTGACTTCAAATATCTAAACACTTTGATTGTTAAAATGGACACTCGGCACTTTATTCCAGTTACATGCATGTATATAAAAAAAGCTGAGTCTGAGTAACATAGTTATTATGTCATCTTTACTGCTTTAAGTTTCTCTGTATGCTTAAATTACTTACCCACTATCGTTGAATGCTTTATGTGCTAGGTCTTGTGGCAGACATAGACATTGAATCAGAAATATGGAGGTGGATGGGAGGGGCTCGTTTAGATTTATATGTACGTTGCACGAAATTCCTCTTAATTCTCTTCTAGCATTGTGATCCTTTCAAAGCTCTATTGATTTAAAGTGGTTTATAGTAAGACTGTATGTACATGCTGACCTTCACAAATTTTACCAACAAGGATTATTCCAACTACCTTCCTTCTATGTCTTCTTTTTCTCATGGCTTTGAAATGATATTGTTGATCTTATTATTTTATTTGGTGAGTACATAGCCACTGAAGCTGGTGATTTTAAATTGTAAATAAGATCTACCTTCTGTCCGAATGAGCTTGACTCCAATCGTGAGGTGTTAGCAATTTAGACTAGAATTCAGTGTGTTGCCTAAATAGTTGATTAGGATATTGGCATTGAGTATAGGCTTTTGAGTTCTTCAAGCTTTGGAAGGAAAATATGGTTTTTGGCAGTTCTACCCAATTACAGAGGGAGATATCTAGTCAAATATAAGTTTCTATATGTTGGTCGTAAATTGAGGATGGCAATAACTGAAGATGCATCTGTCTCATGATACTCTATATAACCGATGCCACTTAGATGTTCCTGAAATTAAATGTATCTTAGCTTGCTCGTAACTTAAATAGCTTCTGCTTGAGTGTAAAATTTTAAATTATGGTACTTGAATTAACAGTTTGGTCCCCACGACCCCCTCCTCCTCCTCCTCCTTTCTGTTTCTAGTAGAGGCTATACTTGTTTATCTTTGATTTTTTTGCATCTAAATATGGCTTTGTCAACACTGTTCTTTATTTTTTATGTCCCCAGGCCGTAAAAAGAATATTTCAGTTGAGGAAATATAATGGGCGTATACATTTCATCCCTGCATCTGATTTCGAAGACTATACGGAGAAAATAAGCCATAAAGCTATATCAGTTCAAGATGTGCCATTTTGCAGTTTGAAGAGAACGCAGACTGATGCTCAAGAAAGTGGCTATTTAGGGCCTAACATTGACCTGGAAAACATGAATTGGCGGACCATAGAAGGACCGTTTGTATCAGTTTGGATCCAAAATGTACCTTGGGGAAGTGAAGGTTCAATGCCAGCTCCTAATGCCAAGGTTGGTTATCTTGACGTAGTATTAGCTAATTACATTTTCAACTCACTTTTTGATGCCATCTCTAGCTCTTTATTCATGGCCACAGTTGGCATTTTGATAAAGTCTCATTCGAGTCATTAAATAGCATGAAAAGTCAAGGCAATAAAGTCTCCATATTCCTCATTAGGGAAAAGACTGAGGCTTAAGAAAATCCTTATTCCGTGTCTTCAAATGATTGCTCTCAGAACTTGGTATCAGAACAACGTATGACATAATATGGTTTCATTGGCAAATGTCAAGGAAAAACACATTTAATCTCGGGGGAATTGGGAAGAAAAAGTGAGAAAGAATGAGAGGGGGGAGGGGGTGTTTAGGGTAACGGTTAAGTGCTAGAAAGTATTCAAAAAGTTTTCAACGAGAATTTATGCATTCCATGTGATCAAGGAGATTGTTTTAGTTGCATTGCCTCTCTTATAAAGTATTTAGCTATTTACTAAATGCTATTATTTCTCTTACTACTCCGTATATGACGATTTACACCTCCTGTAATTACTTTGGTAACATGCAGTTTTCAGATGGTTATCTAGATGTAATCCTTATGAAAGATTGCGCGAAATTGGGTTTGCTGTCAGTATTGACTAGTTTGAGCAATGGAAAGCATTTGAAATCGCCTCACGTCCTGTACTTTAAGGTGAGTTCTATTGGGTTGTGAAAAAATAAATAAATAATGCTGATATAGGCTGATGCATCTACTATCGAGGCCATGAGGGAGTGGGTGCCAAAAGAAAAGGAAAAAAAAAAAAAACAGACGAGTAGAAGCTCATAGGAAATCTGAATTTCAACATTTTCTCCGTGTTTTTATTTTTAGAGCAGTTTGAAGCTGAAATACACCCGTGAAAGGGAATTTAATTTCGAATAATTGAACCATTTATATTATGTCTGTCCAAGAAAGAAAATGTACTTTTCAGCGTGTTTTGGTATCAGGTGAAATCCTTTATATTGGAGCCCGGATCTCGTACTAAAGACTCAACAAAAGGAGGAATCATAGACTGTGATGGCGAGGTGTTGGCCAGAGGTAATGGTACATATAAGTGTGACGAAAAAACCTTGATGTCCTACGATAATCTTCAAATCACCATTGATCAGGGTCTAGCTACTCTATTTTGCCCTACCCTTTGAGTAAAAATTGTATTTGTTTATTCTAATTTTACAAATCACATCATGTATTTTTTTAACAAACGTCATAGGATTTCACATTTGATCAACGATTGTGTGTAATTAGTTGCTTGGAAAGGAAATTATATATATTTATGCTTGGACTGCCATTTCTGGCCCTTTTCTATTTTTGGCAAATTATTTCAATCACAAATTCTTTGCAGAACTATTAGAGGTCATGAGAAAGTTGAACTGCGTAAAGGATTGTTCAATTATATTCATCAGACTTCAAGTAGATTATGGAGTACATGTATCTTACTTTAAAAGCAATCCAAGCAGAAAATCCGATTTAGGGTCAATAATTTTCTAAAATGAGTATTGGCACAGTAAGGATGGATTAAGATGTGACTGGGATAAAATTAAATTTTAAATCAGAGTTTTCGCGTTTATGTTGTTTGGATTAAAGTCATTAAACCATCTCAGGTCATTTTGGTATAATTTCACGTGTTTTCCTCGCTGTCGGGAATTGAAAATTTCAAAACCTAAATAATAAAACAACATTGCATACGAAGTATATCTACTTTACATAAAAAATAAAAAATAAAAAATAAAAATAAAAACTGAAATTTATTTTTCATACCCTTCAAATCTTATTATCCAAGGAATAACCGAATAAGTATCAGTACCTGCATTGGTTGCATACCTCATCCATGATTATGTAAAATTATATCTATATCTTTCAGATATACCTTAATTGCACAAGAATAATTAGATTGGTGTACCAAGTAAGAATAATCATTAAAGTAACATATTAGCAAATTGTATTTTTGTTAACGAGACAGGAAAACACCAGTACTCCATGAAAACAAAACAAAATTACAAGATTTCACAACTTCACCCCATGGAAGTTGTCAGAACGACATATGCAGTGCACCATTGGCATTCCTAAATTGATGAATGATTCATAGTAAAGAAAATAAAAACTGTATCATTCACAAAAATGTGGTTCTTACAGAAAGATCAAAAAGACTAGGAGCAGAAGATAACAAAGAAGAGAGAACATCAAGCATCGCTATAAGAAGAATGTTATTCCTTGGATAATAACATCGCGATGTAGTAGACCATTCAGACAAACCTTAATATCAAGACTCGTTTTGTAACAGAAAGCCTGCTTTCAGCAAATATAATCTCATGAAAAGAGTTCTCATTCTACATAAACAAGGGTCAATATGTATCTAGATTTTCATGTTTCAACTATTGGCAACAGGATGTATAGGCAACAGAAGAATGGTTGCTCTGCAAAATTTTGTACTCCATGTAAATTATTCAAGAGTAAAATTGAAACGCACAATTTCACTAATCAACACAAAACACGGGGCAGGAACATCCAGGAAATCATTTCAACTGAACAATGGACAAGATGCATGATTAAATGATCTTTCCCAGGTAGAACATAGATAAACCATTCAGTTGGTGAAGAATTGAGGATATAAAAGGCTTCAACAAGAATAGGAAAGGGGTACACAGTTTGTATCAAGAGAGCATACTACACTAATAATACTAGCAATCACCAAAAGTTTCTGTTAACAAACATTTAAAACTATTGAGATAGCGCAAATGGATTGAGCACATTTTTGCAACAGTTCCAAAGACTTAATATGGTTAGACTGCTCTAACTCTCAGAAAGATTATAGAACAAGGAGTAAAGTATTATTCAACATATGGAGTCTGTTGACAGGTACAAAAAATTCCCTCCTACAAACCAATTCCAGCCATCATAAAATCCATCAACATTTGAAGATAATCATAATATCATCATTCACATTCCAGCAAAAGCAGCCATAGCATGCATCACCTACTTAATACAACGAACCAAAAGAAAAAAGTTTGAAAGTAGTATTTATATAAATAATATTTACAAGCTCACCCAAGTGAATCAAGTTCCAGCAGAAGGCAAAGCAGCCATGAAAGAGTTGTACGAAGACTCGAGATCAAAGTGAAGCTGCCTTGCTTGTTGCTCAGTCAGTTCATCAGCAGCACCCATCTTAGACAACCGTCCAAGCCACTCTTTCATTTTGGTCTTCCCCTCAAAATCAGGCGGCAATAAACTAAGCTTGTTCAACGCAGTTGAGAGGTCCGACAACAGGGGATAGACCTGATCAACCGCCACCATATTCAATTTCAACGAATCCATCGCCGTGATAAAGTTCTGAACACATTCGGCCACAGTGGCAGCTGAAGTGGTATTAGAAGCAGCAGCAGCTGCCCTATGCTCTACTGTAGCAGGCACCCCAGAAGTCACCAGCCTATTCAACGCAGCCCGGCAATCCATTTTATACTTATCAACAAAGCTCTCAATGCTAGGGACAGTGTCCTTCAGCGACGACGAAAGGGTTTTGAAGTGGGCAATCAATTTTACGCATTCAGTTTCATAGTCTGAAGGGGAAATTACATCCCCAATGTAAGCCTTTTCCAGCTTCTCAGTGGCCTTAATAATGGCGTAAAGCTCAGCAAAATTCTCATACATTTCTCTTTCACGCTTATCATTCCACAATTTCACTTCCATCTTGGGTAGTACTATATGGGTTTTTTTAAGAAATCTTGAAATTTTTTTGGGGATTTTTTTTTTTCTTTGATAGTATAATTTAGGGTTAGGGTTTCAGAAATTGCAATTAATGGGGTAAATTTGGAGAAGAAAAGGGACACGCGCAGAGACTACTTGTCACAACTGAAGAACAACAACAATCAAAACACAAAGACGCAAACACACAATCGTCAGAATTACATTTTAATCAAATCAACCCATAAACAAAATCACAGATCATAATCAACTAAACGCCCACAAGATCAACAAACTAAAGAAAACAAACCCAACAAAAATTAAGACTAAAGATCACATCTTTATCCAAAAAATCAAGTGGGGTTCTAACAATTTTAGGTGAAAATTGAAAGCAATGAAGAAAACCCAATTACAATTACCAAAAATTAGGTAATAAAAGCACATAATTAGCACCCAATCCATATCAAAACGTAAGCAAAGAACATGATTTAGACCCAACAAAATTAAAAGGGGGAAAATTGAGAGGATAGGGGAAGAGAGAGAGAGAGGTAGAGAGAGAGAGAGAAAGAAAGACTTACAGGAGAGAGAAAGAGAGAGAGAAGGCGGATTATTGGAAGTGGGGGTGGAGGTGCAGCAGGTGAAAGCAGGAGAGATGGGAAGGATTGAGGGGCAAAGATGCGTGTGGGGCATCAAAGAGTCTTGTTTTGCTTACGCCATTGCTTGTCACACCCACTACTCTTGGGTTGTGTTTCTAGTCTAGCCTCTACCCTAGCCTATTCCATAGTACATAGCAACTTCTTGTCTTCATTATTTTTCACAAATTTGAAATTTCTATTCTCTGTAACGTGCTTGATGCGTGCGCTTTAACTTGTCATGATCGATAAGCTTAATAAAAATTATACTGCTCATTTGACATTGTTGAAACTTTCTCTTTTTTGGATTTTTGTTTTTCAAAATCATATGATATATATTATATAATGAATTAAAAATTAGTCAATTATTAAAATCATGATAATTTTAAAACTGATAATAAAAAAGTGGAAACACCTTTTTCTTGTTTCTTGTTTTTGGTTTTTAGTTAAAAAAAAAAATTGAAAACTGAAAACAAAAAACAAATGCAAACAAGCCTCATAGTCTTGTGAGTACTTGCTGGAATTGTTTCAATAAATAGATTATTAATTTTCAATTGCTGTGATTTGTACTTATTAATAATTAAAGATATTGCTTACGAGTATTAAAGATTTGCATCGACATGCGTGCCCAAAATAAATGAAGCAAGTAATAAAATACGGAGGGAGTAAATAAATAATCTTAGAGGTATAAAAATGTCCGCACACTATTTTTAAGAGTTCAAAACAAGTGGCTATTAACATTAATAAGGGCAAATAAGAATTAAGAAGATAAACATTTTAGAGGGCAAATAAGAAAATAAGTTTGTTCATGTATACAGAGAAGGCAATATAGGCGGCGGATTGATTAACCAACAGTGAAGTCGTTCAAGACTCTCAACTGATTTATTTTAATGATGTGTCAATAGAGCTTAGTCGTATCTTGGAGGAAGATGTACAAGGTGTGACCGTGCCACGCCTTATTTTTCCGTAGCTAGTGTCATTGGTTTTTTCGTTTTATTTGTTTTAGTTTTGTTATTTTTTTCTTTTCTCTTTATATGGTGCTTGTAACCTCATTTAAATATAAAAAAAATTCAGAGGGTATAATTGTCCAAATATTATTCATAAGAGTTATCTCATATATTTTAAAAGGTAGGAATTCCCTTTAGGATCTATCAGCCTAGCCAATAGTAACACGTACACTTACTATCAACTTATAAAATTGTGTACTTGTGTTTAGATAATACCCATCCTTATACCAATAAAGAAGTTTATTGGTATTATACCTACTACTTTCATTTAATATTATGTGCAACAAAGGCCTTGACACAGACTCCTAGACAAATTTTGTTTGTGAGTAATAATTCGAGAGAGAAAAATATAAATGCATGTGATGAAGAGAAAGATAAAAAGAAATGGCAACTTAAAAAGAAAAGAAATATATATATTGCATATAATGTGTAGCAACTATTTTTGGTAAATGTTGCACATAATATATAACAGAGGTAGTATAAAAGGTTATATTCAATGAGTGTTATTATTAGTGTCATTGAAATCCCTCAATCTAAAATTTGTGTCTCTGGATAATCCTTTCATGTTTAAATATATTTTTCATTCGCCTTTTACACAGTTTTCAATACAACATTTAGACTTGTGTTTTTAAAAAATATTATCAAGTACGAAAATTAATATTGCGAAAGTGCATAATGCATAGTGAAACGAATCAAATAACATATTACATGGAGTTTATAATAATAAACTTCAATTATTACTTGAGAATAGATTAAAATTCAACAGAAGTTAGTATTGTGCAGTTGCACCTAATTTTTGTACAATGGATCAAATATTTTTCAATTTGTAGATAATCTGAGCATCCAACTATGAATACATGTAATTGATGTAAGACTTAAAAATAACAAGAAGGATATTGACCCAATTGCTAGAGAACAATTTGGAGATAATCAGATGAACATAACCCAGAGACTCATTTGTAGGCCATTAACAAAAACCCAAGCCCACAGGAGATGACTGATGGATTTGCACATAAGGCCCATTAAGAACATGGATCACCCCATTTTTTGCACATGATCAACACTTTTATGAGTTTCCTTAAGGCCCTAATCAAGATATACTATACCCTTATGGATTGGGCTCATAAAATTTGCATATTGTACCTTCTTTCTCCCTTTAGCTTCTATAAATACTTAAAAAAAAATAAAATAAAAATAAAATCATATGAGATCTTGTTAATATGTCTTATATATGTATTCAAATACAGAGAGTAGCTACAATGAGTTCAAACAATATGCAAGTTCCGTTAATTTATAATAAATCTTGCCTAGTTTGAAGTTTTTGAACAAGTTATTTCCAATTCAATAAGTAATTTTCCATCTGTCAACTTAACATTTCAATCAATGTCTTGTTGCAAACAAACCTATTTTGGGTTGATTCAAATGTTAGACAAAAGTTTTACACCGTACGATTGAAAATCCAATCTTGCAAAATCTGGAAAAGCTTGCAAAGTACATGTAAATAGTAGCTTCACACCTTCACTTGTGCCAAGTGGACCTAAATCGATCGTGTTGATAGTCTCGTTACCTCTTAATCACTATTAACACAATCCTTTTAATCAATTTCTATACAATTCCATCTGTTACAACAAATGATGATGTTTTGAATATTGAGATATAGATTACATTTGGCCCTAGATTGAAATTTTCGTATATGTTAAAAGTAAAAGAAAATGTAAATTCATCCATACGCTTTCAAAGAAGTACTGAAAAATGATACGTAAGTAACAAAGATTATGATAAGATTATGACCGGGGACTCCTCTTGTAAGTGACAAATGGTCACAAATAAGCAAATTATATATAAACATAGAAATTTCCAAGAAACATAATAATACATTGAAAAAAATTAGTACAAGATAACAATTAGTCACTTCTCCTTCTAGATAAAACCTTGCCTTGGATGTTCGGCAAGCGTATAGCAACCATTGAAATTTGTAATTTTTATCCCAACTCCACTTAACAACAAATTAGCTAAAAATTGAGGTAGAAGTTAGTTAAAAAATTAGTTATTTCCGTTACATCTCTTGTACCTTTCATATCAACTTTAAATGAATTAAAGATTCTTACCCTAAAACTCTAAAAGTGAACAAAGAGGAGGAGAGAGTTCCATGTAGCCAGCTTTTGAATGAAGTTTTTAAGGGACACTAGGACGTTGTCCCACCACTTTTGGGCCCTCCACAATTAATAATAGCATACATCTTAAGTCTTAAGTTGCTTTTAATGGTGAAACTAGAATGTACTCTCTAAATTTTAATTATTCTATCAATTTTTTTATTTTTATTTTTTTTTATTTTTTTTTATCCCATTCTTTTATATTCTCTTATTTTGGTCAATTTAGGATAATGACATGACCTTGTAGTTGTAAACTTGCATTGTAATATACTCCGTAATACGTAGTAGTAGCTTATTGATTGAACTATTAATTTACTTTTTTCATCTTTTGGTTCTTTCTTCCTTGCTCTATTTTAAAAATTTACACACGCATATGTAAGGAAGAAAGGTTATTAGTGTGGTAATTGGAGTTATATATTTTTCTGTATTAAATTTGTGGCTGTGAATCTAACTTATGAGGGCTTCTTATCGAGAATTTTTACTCTTATTTTATTAAAAGTGAACTACAATTAATTATGTGAATTATATAGCAATTTTCATAGTTAAAATATAAAAGTCATAGTGATATTAAAAAATAGATAGCAAATGTGATAGGAACAATACCAGTTTTTAAATAATAAAACCTCAAAATAACACTACTTGTCATCTCAGTTGCTGTGGTGTAGTGGTTATCACGTTAGTCTTACACACTAAAGGTCCCCAGTTCGATCCTGGGCAGCAACAATTTTGTTATATTTTTGCATGATGTCCATTTTCCAATACTGTCTTATTATTTGAGAAATGTTTTTCCGATCGTCCTTTCAATGGATATCAATATTGAAACATTTTATAACCCAAGAAAAAAGAAAAAAAAAAAAAGAGTATATGCTCGTTATTCATCTGATTAATGAGTAGCTTAATTTGAATCTCTAATGACATGATAAAAGTTGAAATTGTTTAAATAATAAATCACCTCCTAAAAGAAAAAACTCTATATACATAATAAAATACTTGCACACAACTTTCATTTCATAATGTTCACAACATTATATATATTTTTTACTTGTTTCAATGATGTCCTTAAAATATTTCATATTTGTCTGTTTTATGAAGTTAATAACTATACTTTATTTCATTATTTATTTATATCTTGACCGACGTTTGACATTGCTACATGAATTTCAAAATTAAAATTTGTTTACTACAACATTATCTTGTCTCCTTAAAGACAAATAAAAAAAAGTGCTAGTATGGATTCTATGGAGTATGGACCATGTTATTATTACTAGCATTTCTTATGACTAATAAAAGGATATGGATCGTAAAATTCTGGTTTCGGGTTGGTACACGAAGATAAATATTAAGCAAAAGTAGATTTTTTTTATTGGATTTTGTAAATATTAGAAAATCTTTTGTTAATTAATCAAAAAATGGGAAATTAGTAACTTATATTCCTTGAAGAAGTTAAAAAATTTATGAATTCAACTATATGATCGATTAATGTTTTGAAATAGAATTATGCTATATACATCCTTTTCTAAATTTAATACATGGAAGAAAAAAAAAAAAAAAAGGAAAAAAAGGATTTGATTGGGAATATGGAATTACTAAGTTATCATATTAGAGCAAATAATAATCAAGTGGACCTAATAGATTTATGTACTTTGCAACTAGTACCTACTATTAGGATGCCTTGTTTGAACAATTGTAAAGAGTTGATTTTCGGGTGAAACTGTGAAAGAGACAATTAATAGAAAGAGATTGGTCACAAATGAGATGACAGTTTCAAACTTTCAATAATAATTCATATAATAGTTTACACACATCTTTATCAGTTTATTTCATTAGAGTCACAAACATAACATATACGAAATTTAAGTTAAGATTATCAGTAATTAACACCACGAAACTGAACTTGAAAAAGTCAAATGAAATGTAAACGTTAATAGTTACAAAAGAAATTGAATTAAATGATCAACTAAAAAACTTACAAAAAGAAAAGTATTTTTCAGTATTTCAAACATGAAGAAAATTTACAAGTACTAAGCTAGTCCTTTTTTTTCATGCAAAAAGAGAAAGAAAAGAAAAGAAAAAAAATAAAAAATCTAAGAATACATCATGTAGCGTCTAGTATTGCAATTTCCTTTTGTTTTTTTTGGACTGTGTTTATAGTATGATCATCAGCATTAAGCTTTTAACTAGCAAAATTAATTAATGAGAAAAGAAAAAAAAAAAAATACAAACACTATAAGATTAGTAATGTACATAACAACATTACAATACACCTAAGCTTTTTTAGTTTTAATAATTAGCATTATTGATTAATATTATTGTTACGTAGCACGATTAATCATCTCCATAAACTGCTGCATAGATTCTTGCCTTTGCAACCTCATATCCTCATTGAACTTGTTAATGAACGCCTCAACTCGACGATTCAACTCATCCTGACCTAGTGATGGCTCTTTCCTCAACTTGTTAACTGTCACCAGTGGTTGGGGTGGCGGTGGCAAGTAATCGGAACGTTCATGGAACGTCTCGGATTTCTTCACCACCGCAGGCATTGGAAATGATTCGTCGAGCAAGTCGATCTGACGATCATGAGTTTCCCATGTATCCGACTTCTTGAGGTGCCTGGTTAATGGAATGTGTCGTCCTTCAGTTATGGCCTTCCAAGTGCTTTCTAGGGTATCATGTTTCTTTGGCTTTGATACTCTCAATGACTTTCCACCTAACATATGAAAATTAAATTTTGTCAAATTATGTTTAAAACAAATTCATTATCACTGAGAAAGAAATGTTTTTGTTTATATACATGGAATAAATAATTTTTGGATCATATCATAATATATAAACGACCACTTCTTTTAAATAAGTTGTCTCGCACATATATATAAATTTAATTTCAATATTTTAAATCTTACAAGCTTAAGATTTAATGATTTATGACATATATGTATATATATAATTATTTGAAGGGATTATTATTTACGAATATAGATAAACAGTAAACTAATCGCGACAATCTAACAAAAAAGAAAACTAAAATAGAAATATGTAGATTATATCATGGATTATTTGGAGTATATATGAAGTGTCACACCCTTATTACTTGTATTATATGCACCGACCACTGAAATTAGTGAGAAATTGTAACCTTAAAATCAGTTAGAGCTTAGAGGTCATAATAATTTTCAATGTATTCACACCAAGTAGAAAATTAAAAAGAATTTTAACTTTAAGGAAAAAAAAAGGAAAAAAAATAGAGTAGAAAAGTAGTTAGTCAAGGTCAACTTTTATAATGGCTCCATTGGATTTTTTTTTTTTTTTTTTCCTTTTCTCACTACAGTAAAGCCACTTCATTTTGGTACGCTTTCTTGATTGATTTTAAAGCTAAACGAAGATTCCAGCAAATTAAAGTACAAATTTCAGATTAATTTAACGTTTTTAGTCAAACGTCATAATCTCATAACGCAACACCAGATTACTCCTGAGATCTCAATTAGGAAGTAATTAATCAACCCCTTATAATCTGCGGATTAGATCATGGACACATATACACGTAAAATAGTAAAAGAATTTATAGTGCATATATATAAGTTTTCTTAGTTATGATTACTTAGAATACAACGGAAAAGGGGACATGCTATTTGTAGGATATGTTCGGAAAAATTATCTCATTTTCTAACACTCTAATGATTAAATAAACTTCGTATATTCCAGTTTATCATACTTAAAATGAATGTTATAAATCAACATAACGTGACAACTAATTATGAGAAAGAGAGTTTAATTTACCTTCAGCAAGGGCGGGTTTAGCCTTAGCAGGACGCCGATGATGACCGAACCTCGAAGAAGCCGGTGGTTTCTCCGAGAAAATCTCCGGTGAAAACTTCTCTTGCCTCCTCAACGGAGACGAAGGTGGAGGAGTCCACGTGGATCTCTCAACAACCTTAGATATATCTTCTCTTCCCTTACTCATAACCTCCTCCTCAACAACTCTTTTTTCTCTCTCCTCCTCAACCACCCTCTCAACAACCTCACCATCCTTCATGGAAACGACGTCGTCGTAAAAACCAGCTCCAATAACATTATCAACAACAGCCTCCGCAACCGAAACGACACCGTACGGTGCAAACTGATCAGCACGAACAGCGATGACGTCATGATGATTATGGCCATGATGTTGTTGGCTCGGAACCTTGGTAGCCGCCGGAGCCACCGAGTCATGGTGGTTGTGGTGGAGGCGGGAGGTGGCGACGATGGTTAAAATGATAGCGTTGATGATAAAGTAGAGATAAGGAGGACGGAGCCACGAGCGGAGGGTGGAGAAAAGTGACGGTAGCTCAGCGGTAGCGGTGGCGGAGGCCGAGCTTATAAGGGTTGGCATGGACATATATAGAAGGATGACAATGGAGAGGACTCCGGTTGACATTAACATTATTTGAACCGACGACATTATTAAGGTTTTTCCGTTCGCCATTAGATTAATTAGCAAATACAATAAGTAATTATAACATAAAAGAACGGAAGTAATATAATGATTTTTTTAAAATTTTATTTTACGATGAAGGAGAATTAACGGAAAGGAATGGAGGGAGTAATTGTTTGTTTGTTTGGGAAAGGAATTTGAGAGGAGAGAGAAAAGGAGAGTAATACTGTAGGAAGTTGTGGGTTGTTTGGGGGAGTGGAAGGAGGAGAGGGAGAAATATATAGAGGGGGACACGGGGGTGGTGGGGTTGAAGGTAATAACGCGGTTTATAGTAGAGTGACAACAATTTGCGCCGTTGGATTTGGATCAAATGGTGATGGCAAGACATGGGGGTTATTATTAATCAATTTTATCGCCCAATAATCAATTTCATGGGTGTCCTAACTAAATAAATATGTCCTAGTAAATACAATATTTTTATATACATAATTAATTAGTACTCATATTTTTATTTATTAAAAAAATTCGCAAAATGGAGGATAATAATCTATTTTCCTAATTCCTACACCAAAAAAAAGGTACTATTTTATATTTATGTATATAATGACAGAGTATTAAAAGTGGACAATATATATTTTAGGTAAGATAAAAATTGACTTTCAACATCAATGTGTGAATCCTTTTTTTTCGTATAACTTAGGTCGTTGGTTTTTTTTTTTTTTTTTTTTTTTTTTTTTTTTGTGTGTGTGTGTGTGTTCGACTCGGCTCACCTTTTAGACTAGCTAATTCAGATTTGAGGATCTGTTCTGGGTGATTAGGTTTCAGTCCCCTCCAATTGTTGTTGCGAGGATCGAACATTTGGTCCTCCCTACCAAGTGTAGCCCTAATCACCACTACACCAACAACCAATTGGTAGGTTGGTATGATAATTAAATGAGGTTAATTTACACTGCAGAGTAACATAATTTTACTTATTAGAACTTATCTAATGAAATTATTTTAGTTGTATAAATTGAAATTTAGGGTGTGTTATATTTATCTGAACTTATTTTAGTTGTTATTTAATCTTTGGCAACCCTTATGGCCTTATATTATCAATCTTGATTAGCAATTATTTTTCCTATATGATATCTGAACCTATTCTGAAAAAACTGATCAACAAAATCTTTATGAAAACTAATCTAAATTTATCTCATTAGAATTGGTAAGGTCCTGTTATCTTCATCTTATCATAATAATATTCTATAAAATTTAAGTTTAGTAATATTATAAATTAAGTTTAGTAAAAATAAATTCAATCCATTAAAAATAAATTTTAATTAATACAAATCAGTTTCTTCAAAGAGCAAATATAACAGAGAATCAGTAAAAAAAAAAAAAAATCACTAAATACTTTAACTACAGATAAGTTTCAAGCAAAAATAATTTCATTTCACAAAAAATAATTAAATTCTGATTTAGTAAAAATAATTTCAAATTAGCAAAAATAAGGTGAAAAGAACTAGATTATTTTCTCCCCAATATGCATATTATAAAATTTGATGCTGCATATCTAAAAATTTTACATTAAGAAGAATCCAACTAGATTTCACATGCTATAATTTTTATTTTATACTTAAATATATCACCGTATAAAGAAATATACATTGATTAGAAACATTTTTTATTTAGACTCACAAATCGTCAAATAAAAAAAAAAAAAAAAAACTCATAAATCGTAAATGGGCACAGAGTATGGAGTATCAAGGAACTAATTGACGAAATGACCAGTGGAGTATATTGTTACTACTCCCTCCATTTCTTTTAATTGATTAGGCTTTGAATTTTACGGTCTCTAATTTACTACTCTGTAGTAGGAAGATGAGTTTTCACATGGGGAATTTTACTAGCTAGAATGAATGGAATATGTAAGCAACTTTATTATTTTTCTCATTGCATTGCAAAATTTTCAAAATAATGAATTATATTACCATTTCAGAAAGTTTGATAAAATATACATGCTTAAATAATACAGAGTACGACGTAGATAGCAAATACGTACATATAACAAACCATGCATATATGTAATGGAACATAGGCCTTAGATTGGATGGTTGAAAAACTTTAATTAATTAATAAGCCTATCATATATTTTTATGAGTAGTCGGTAAAAGTTTTTTTTTTTTTTTTTGGGGGGGGGGGTCGGGGATGTTAAGAGAACCATTAGGGCGAGTGATGAGAATCGATTTCATGATCATCTGGAATCAGGAAGAAAGATTTAACCTTCACTTGAAATATCCCTCACTCTCTAGTTATTACAAGTTTTGAGGTAGTAACAGAAACACTATACTCCGCATGAATTTCATTTACATACTATGCATTTATCAAATTACCTATATATGTAAAGGAACATTGGCCTTAGATTGCATAAGGATGTGACTTTATTCATAAGGATGTACGTTAGTTTCTTACAAATTTTCCTTTAATTGTAAGTGTATTTCTATGTGGTTATACTGAGGAGTATAATTAACATGCTCCCTAAACTTACTGCTAAGCTAACACACTCAAATTGCGTGCATCGCTTTCTTGAAATGCAAATTAAACAACATTGCTTTATGGGTTTTTCCCATCATGTTCATTATATTATAATTATAATTATTATTATTATTATTATTATTATTATTATTATTATTATTATTATTTATTTTTTTATAAGACGACTCAATATTACGTAGTATTATTATATCAAAAGATTACAAAAAATGCAAATTAAATTGATATATCTCTATCTCTTTCTTTCTTTCTTTTTTTTTCCCTCTTTTTCTCTTTTTTGACAGAATATATCTCTCTATCTGGTCTTAAGTTGTTGTAGCTTGTAGTCACTGTAGACGAAAGAGTCCTTTTCCTTGTATTTTTGCATATGCTGGCCGCCTGGCCGACACCTTCAAAATAGCCATTTTTTTACTTTAGATTGAACCACATAATATTATCTATGGACTTAATTTAATCAACGAGTCTTGTGTAAGGCGGATGTACGTTAATTTTATTGTAAGACGCTCAATTTGAGGGTAACTTAAACTATTTTTATGATAACTTTAACTTCTTAAAGAGTAACTTTTAATTTGTCGTTGGTTTGAATTTTATTTTAATGTGTAATTTCTTATAAATTTATGATTATATACTATAAAGGCTAATATGATTAATCTAATGCATTATAAGTTTTTTGTAAGACAAAATTTATTACTAGAAAAATAATAACTTTTGTAGTATAAAAGCTAACTTTGAATACTTTTAAGATAATTAACTTTAACCCGTCTTATAATAAATTAACGTACACTTGCTTTTTTGAGAATTTGTGTAATTTAATTAGTTTGCATTTTTTTTATATTTGAGATTTTTAACTTAGAAATTTGTTCTCTACTTTTCTCATGAGTTGGGTGCCGCACTCACCTAGTCACCTGTCTATGTTATTTCTTCTCAATGTTTAAAATGGTGTACAAATATAAGGGTAAGTAAATTAGGATAGAGAGAGTAACATCAAGTGCTTCGACTATATATATGTGATTGCAAATAATATTGGATAGGGAGAATAACATCAAATATTATCTATATCATTAATTGCAAATTAATGAATCTACTTTTAGAACTCATGTTCCTTAATTTCTATGAAAATGTCGAAGGATACACTATATTGTGAGACAAAGTGAGTAATATATAATTTGGCTATATTTTTTCTGAAAAGACTTTTTTTTCCTTTTATATTTCCTATAAGCTAAGTGAGGTAAAATTTCTTGATCCCATAGTAATCACTAAATCCAAGTGCAATAATATTGGATAATGTAAACTTTGGTAAAGCACGAAGAATTATTTTTTTTGTAACAAATGATTATGTCCAGAACTTACATGACATAAATTTATGCAAAACTGAAGATTGCCATTTCTAGAAAATTTACGGAAATTTATAAGTCATATACCTTACACATTGTACGGAATGTATGTATAATATTAGGCGCAGTTTTCTACTGCTTTTATCATATTCAAGACTCACAGTACACCCTTTTTAGGATATTGAGAATGCAACTATAATATAATGATTAAATGTGGCCATGTCTACATGTATATGCCAATTATGTCACCACACAAGTGGCTATATATAAAGTATTGAACCGACATCTTTCAACTCGTAGTTTAATCTAGATTAACTTTACCGTTAAAATTCATTATTAGGCATCAGTGGCTTGGAGGGAATAAAAGAGTTCTTACCCTCACTGCGCTCATATTATGAAGCAAAACTTTCATTACTAGGTCAATTCTTGCGATTGTACAATAGTAATACCACATATATATATATATATATATATATATATATATATATATATATATATATACCTTTGGCCGTAATTATTTATACATAAACAAATAATCTAGAAGGACAGTAATTTTAAAATGGAAAAGAATAGTATTACCTTACTCGATTAGTCGATTACATAGCATTTAAATAATTTTTTGATATTGTACAAATTAAAGTAAACCCTAATTGTAATGATAACAATACAAAAACTCAAAATTATTACTGTAACTTTGTGTCAAAAAAATGTTTGTATAAAATAAAAGAAGAAAGTGGAAAGAGTTATACTCGTAGTAATATTAATTATTTGATGAAAGTAATTGACTTTAATTAATAAAAAAAAGTAAAATAAAATGGTGAATTTGACAAAATTAAGTAAGCGTCACCCGCGGATCCAGAAACGCCGGGAATAAGGTGGCAAGGGGCCCATGCGCTATGCACGTGGTGTCGCTCCCGATTTCAGTTGAGTCTTGACTGCCGACCATCTTTGTTTGCCCAGCTGAATGTGCGCACACTTGTACTACTTGGCTACTTGCTACTCTACTCTTAAGACTTGTACAAATTTTATACACCACTTTTACTTATTCTTCAATTTCTCATCATTTTTCTAAGGAAAAAAGTGTTGCAATCTTCATGTTTTTCCTTTAGCCCTACCTCTTTAATTTGCTTATTGCATAATTTTCATTACTACTCCCTCTGTCCTATAATACATGACACAGTCAAACATTGTACATATGCTAATGAACTAGTTTGACTTTATTTTTATATAATCAAATATTAATGAAAATTATTTTAAAAATTATATTATGAAACTTTATATTAAAACCTATCTAACAACATATTTTATGATAAAATATATTTTTATTATGTTAGTAAAAAATTATGGTCAGACCTAATGCATGAATAGTGAAAAAAAGTCCAACGTCTCATGTATTATGGGACGGAGGAAGTAGAATACTTGAGTTGAGTATGTAGGGTTGTTGTTATATTGGGCTTGCAAGTCGGGTCTTGTCAAGTTAGGATCATCCCACTTCGATGTATTTATTTATGTTAGCTGAACAAATATGTACTAATGGTTGTATAATACTCCTTATTCCATGGAAAATCACAAAGACTATTACCTATTTAACCATTAAATATAGTACCCTTACCAGCAGAGGCATCATCATCATCACCCTTCCTCTATTCTAGTCGCGTGGGAACCCCCTCCTCCAAATTTTTACAAACTAAATTTTGATGGATCAGTTTGCAACATTCAGCAGCAGCAAGTGTCATCATAAGGGACCACATAGGTGCTCTATTTTCGACAACAACTTACAACTTCGGGAATACAAAGGTGTTCGTCGCAGAGGCA